AAAGCAACTGCGAAAATTGAGGTTTCCATTGCATTACGATTTCCTATCTTTCGGTCCATCGACGAAACAATCTTACAGAGAAATAGCATTTCTGGTAATTGCTACCTTTTCTCTTTCTTTTACTGAAATCTACCTGAAATCTACATTTATACGCATTAGTTTATAACAGTTTTATTACATAATTATTGATTACGAGTTTTACGTAATAAACATATTAACAATTCTAATATTTCTCATATTGAGGTGACAGATAAAAATCGATCTAGTTGAAATAAATCACTCGAATGCAAATGAAACTAATAGAATCGAAAGAATTGGAATTAATTATAGAATCAGACGTGGGAATTCTGAAATAGTGTCGAGGTTCAACGAAAATCTTTATTACTTACGACCGTCGTCGATTAATTTTTTGCTACTTCTTTGTATATCCTCCGAGCATTGTCTAAGACACTTTAAGCTTTAAGGCAATTTTACACATGAGTTCGCGCATTAGGAAGCTCGTCCTTAAACCGATTACTTCTCTCTGCTCCCTTTTCGCATTTCATTCTTTTCTTCGTTTCCTTTTCAAAAAGTTGCACAAACAGAATCGGTTTTGATAACGGAAACACCGATGTCGTTGGTCCCCATGCGCCAATTAACTCCAGTTTATGTGTGCAAGAAATCCCGCATCCGCAAGCCACGTACCCATTTTATACGCAGGAAAAAAATAGAGGATTCGAAACGATCGGATCGTGTCCTTTTTTTCTTCGATTGTTTGATGGGCCATCATCAGGTTAATCTTCGACGCCCGTACGATTGAACTTGAACCCGACACGAACTTGACACTTCTGTTCATTTCCCTCGTCCTCTTCCTTACTCATTCCTTCCTCATCCTCTCTTCTTCATCATATAAACAAACTTAAAGAAAAACTTTTTTCAGCTGTTTACATTTTTGCTTATATCTCGAAAAGTATGTGCGACAAATTCATTGCTGAGCAACCGAATTAAAGCTAAATATTCACTCTTTAAGACGTGAATATTGAAATAGTTGTATTGTTTTTCATTTAGTCGCCATTAAATATCAAACTTGAGGAAACTTTTTATTAAGTTTCGAAAAGGCAGTCACTTCACATTCTTGCATATATCTCGAAAATAATATGCTACAAATTCATTGTTAATCAACCAAATTAAATCTAGATATTCACTCTTTAAAACATATGTACTGAGATAGTTGTATCATTTGTCATTTTGCTGTAATTCACTGTATAACTAGAAGAAACCTTTCAAAAAAGCAGTGTCTTTATATTTTTGCTTATAACTCAAAAAGTATAAGCGACAAATTCAATATTAATGAAGCAAATTAAAGTTAAATATTCACTCTTTAAAACGTAAATAATAGAATAGTTGGATCATTTTTCATTAAGACGTCATTCACTATCAAACTTAAGGAAACGTTTTATTAAGTTTGGAAAAACAGTCACTTCACATTCTTGCAAATATTTCTAAAATAATGTGCGACAAATTCATTGTTGAATAACCAAATTAAATCTAGATATTCACTCTTTAAAACATATGTACTGACATAGTTGTATCGTTTGTTATTTTGCTGTAATTCACTGTCCAACTTGAAGAAACGTTTCTTTTAAGCTTCGAAAAAGCAGTGTTCAATATTTTTTTTAAACTTTTATTGTTCATTCACAACCTGCCAACATCTCTGGCTATAAGTTGAATTTTTTTGGCCAAGACAGAAAAAAAAGAAAGTAAAAACAGAAAAAAAACAAAATAAAAGCATGGAACGGAACGATTTCCCATCGGAAATCTTCCTATAAACAATTATAAATTTAACTAAAAAGAAATAATTCGATGACAATAACAACCCAAATAAAAATTGATTTTGACGACACTATGAAAATTTAAACAATGAAACTAACTTTTATTTTCTAAAGGGGAGGTCGTAAATTGAATATTGATGAAGGAAATTATAGCTAAATATTCAATCTTTAAAACTTATGTACGGACATAGTTGTATCGTTTGTCATGTTGCTGTAATTCACTGTCCAACTAGAAGGTTTTCATTGAGGAAACGTTTTAATAAGTTTCGAAAAAACAGTCACTTCACATTCTTGCATATAACTCGAAAATAATGTGCGACAAATTCATTGTTGAATAACCAAATTAAAGCTAGATATCCACTCTTTAAAACATGTACTGGCATAGTTGTATCGTTTGTCATTTTGCTGTAAGTCACTGTCCAACTTGAAGAAACTTTTTTTTAACCATTGTTAAATAGCTAAATTGTAACATGCCTTACTAAGATCATCTAATGGTTTCTATATCAAATATTGATGATTTTGGTTCATATTTAATCTCATTACCAGCTACGAATGAAAATGTTAAATTATTAAATAAATCATTTGAATAAAATATATCAGTTTGACGTTGATGGAAATTATGGCTTCGAATTCTGGATGAATTTCTGTTATAACCCGTCAGTTTGTGGATGATATATCAATAATATCAATAATAAAAAAAATTAATAATGCAGATTATTCATGCGGTCCTGCAACAGTTATCCTCGCACTACATACCGCGCGTCCTTTTGAGGCCGATCATCGGAGGTTTACATATTTGACCTCATAATTGAGCCGAACGGCGGAAATTGGTTCTGCATTGACTTCCTCCCATGCACACATCGAAAGCGATTTACAAGAGAGAGAACGGGACACAAGAAGAAGAAAAAAAACAGACGACGTCTCGAATCCAATACGAATGACGTATCCGTGTCAATTGAAACTAGTCCCGTCCGTTTTCTTTCCTTCGCCAAACACACCCTGATCCATTTTTGCATTCTTTGATCATCTCACTCTTTCTCATTCACATAATCGCACATCATCTTTCTCTTTTTCTCTTGATATCTTCAAGACTGGTCCGTTGTGCAAGAAGGCTTCAATGCAATTTTTCGCCTCGGTACGCTCGTTCAATATTACCACACTTTTGTGTATATATATATTTACTATAGAATTTTTTTTTGAATGCTAACAAAACGAGTTATTATTTTGCTCGAAATATTTAATTAGTCATGACAGGCCATCCGATGGAAACGCGAAGATAATACTACTATACTGGATGGATTACAGCCTTTCATTTTCTTTTTTTTTACGTTGAGCATGAAAATTAATCTTCTGCTCTGTCAAGGTTTTCGGCACCATTTTTCGTTGCATGAATAGAATATTTAGAATTTTATTTAATTAATATATGTACACTATGCTCAGCTGCACAAACTTTTCACACCGTTTTTTATCTCATAGTTTCAATTTTTTTTAAATTAATTTACATGTAAAATTATCAACGTTTACACAATTTCTTTTTTAACAATGGTTTATGCAACTGACATAAATAAACAAACATACTCATTAATTAGAATATTCGATTACAAAAAACAACAACATCGATTTCGTGAACATTGATATAACAAACGAAGCTTTTGCAATTAATCGTAATTAATATCACAAAAGCTACAAATTCTGTTGAAATAATTACACCATAATTTTAATTGAAATAGCTAGGAAAATTATACAGTACAATTTATAATATTTCAGTAAAATTTTCAATACAAATTACGAACATTCTACTTGTAATACGTTGAAGCATTTCTCCAAATAATCTGACATCATTTGACATTTGACATATTTCAAGTGACATACTTCAAAAGTGACAACTAAAAATAGTTATGTAACGTTTATACCTCTAATGCAGCGACCGGGGAACTTTTTTAACCATTACCCCAAAATATTTTTGCGTAAGTCGATATTACCTCCCCCAATTCTGAAAAGAAAATAATCAATGTAAATTTTAAATAAACATTATTTATTGAATTAATTTGCATTTACATATTTATAAAAAAAAAGTTACATGAAAATAGTAAGTATGTAATAGACAAACAAAATAAAATTCTTAAATTGGAACACATAAAAATTAATTGAAAACTTTCCCCCTTCAGGTTTTGGAAAAATGATGTTGCTTCATGTTTGATATAATTACTTTAAAATTGGGACTTTTTGATGTAAGAGCAATTTGAATACAGTCTTCTGCGTTTAATCGATTTCTGTTTTTCGTTTTTATGTTCATTAGAGTGGAAAAGCCTTGTTGACAAAGGTAGGTTGTTGCAAATTGCAGCAATTTTTTTACCGCCTCCTCATCTGCAATTTTGAAAGCCTTTGACAACCAAAAAGACGACAGATTTGCTTTGGTCTCAAATTGAATACGTGCTTCAGTATTGGATCGAAGTTTAAGAATTGCCTCTGTCAAACCTGGAGGTTCTTCTGGTATGTTAGTAATTACACATTTAAAAGGTCTACAACCCAATTCACAGTTTGTACATCAAGATCTGAAAAGTAGTCATAGAACCGCTCTCTGAGTTTGGTAAAATTAAATTAGAAAAATTTCCCTATTACCCAAAAAAAATCATTTTTACCCCGACCGCTGCTCTAATGGAATTAAAATGTTATTCCTACATTTTCATTTTCTACAAAGCTAAAATAAACTTTTCTTTGATTTCACATATTGTAATTGCTTTTACGTGGATATAAACGAATATAAACAGGACAAAGAATGTTCATTTTATTAAACATAAAACAGTGTATTTAATTTGATGTCAGGATAAGTAAATAGACTTTTCAATTATAGCGTTGGGAGAAATCAAAGTGACGACAGTATCTGCATGCCTTTTGTGGAGGACAATGAATAATTTCCCGTGCTCGAATGGACCCGTTGTGGGTGGACGTCGCGGTGTGTGTTCATCCTTCGAAAAGTTGGTCAAATGAAACGTGAAGATAATGCGAAAACGTGGTTTTAAGTATTTTTTGGGGCAAGCAGTTAAAAAAGAACGAATCGGAGGGATGAGAGAAGAGCAAATACGTTGGGACGTATAAATTATCTGGGGGGAGGTTTCCGTTCTGGGTCAAGGTCGATGCAACAATTGCACGAACATGTAATAATAATAATAATGCCCTTTGTTGCAGATTCCTGGCGATTTGGTGGCCGCTGAAGTGTCAGATAACAAAGAGAAGGGCCCGGATCATGATCGTGTTCATCTGGTTCATAGCCCTCACCACAACTCTACCCTGGGCCATATTCTTCGACCTGGTGGTTATCTTCAGCGACGCCCCGCACGTGCAGCTCTGCATCGAAGTATGGCCTGATTCGTTGAACGGCGCTCTGTACTTCCTCATCGCCAACATGGTCTTCTGCTACATCCTCCCGATGATCCTGATCACCCTCTGCTACGTGCTCATCTACATCAAGGTCTGGAAACGAAACATTCCCACCGACACCAAGGACGCGCAGATGGAGCGGATGCAGCAGAAGTCGAAGGTGAAGGTCGTCAAGATGCTCGTCGCCGTTGTCATACTCTTCGTCGTCTCCTGGTTACCGCTGTACGTGATCTTCGCGCGCATCAAGCTCGGCGGAGACATCGAACCGTGGGAGGAAGAAATCCTGCAGATCGCAACACCGATCGCCCAATGGTTGGGCGCCTCCAACTCCTGCATAAATCCCATCCTCTACGCCTTCTTCAACAAGAAGTACCGCAGAGGATTCATGGCTATAATGAAGAGCCGTCGCTGCTGCGGCCGCCTCCGCTACTACGAAACCGTAGCGATGATGTCCTCTTCGACGAGCATGAGGAAATCCTCTCACTTCTACAACAACAACTCTTCGACGAGGAAGATACCGCCGGTCCAGGACAACGCAGTCTCCTACATCTACAACAACACAGGCGTCTAAACAAACAAAAGCTCTACCGTCATCAGACGGAACGGCAATTATTGTTGAGTGTTTCGCCCCAAAAAAAAAAACCTGAAATCGGTTCCAAGCGCGAAACGCAACCCTTTTATTTTCGTTCCGTAATTCAGATCCGTGAAAGGATCACAAAAAAAAAGTATATGTAAAAAAAAATTGTATTCCAGGATCCGGAAAGATTTGTAATAAGTAATAAGCAACACTTAGGTAGGGTAAGGAAACGGTGAGGATTTGCAACGAATTTTCAATGGATCAGGTCTAAAGTTTGAAGAACGGATCATTTATTATAAAGGAAGAAACCAAAAAAGTACCACATCTTTTGTAATAATAATAAATAAACAAAGAAGTAAATAAACTCACTTGGCAGAAAGATAAAACAGAGATACAAAAACCAAACGATAGGCTTAGGTATTTTTTAATAATATTATTATTATAGTCTATATAACAAACTAATTATCGTTACGTAATAATACATTTTAGCGAAATGAGGATTAGTTCGATTCGATGGTAATGTTGAGCTTTAATAATTAATTGACTAGTCTATCACGAGAACCAAAAAAAATAAAAGAAATGTTGCAAACGAGAATAGAAAACAAGACGAGATGAGAAGAAAAAAAAATTGTGAACGAAGAATATTCGAAGTTGTAAACGTTTATTTATTTGTTTTTGTTCGATGTTTGGATATTATATATAAATAAATATTTCCTCCTCGTCCTCATCGAGGATCTTAAATGCATCACCTGCAGCGTGTCTTACCAATATCATATTTTTAATTAATTACTTTTTACTAGGATTATATGAAGAACAAAAAAAAGATTATATATATATATACATATATACCTATATTTTAACCAAAGAAATTTTAATATCTTTAATATCACTTAATCCATTTTACGCTTATTATAAAAGAATGAAGATGTCGAAGAAGTATGAGTAAAAGAAGAGGCAACAAAAATAATTATTACATAAAAAAAAAGTTTTTGAAAAACAAAAAAAAATACTAGAATCTATTTTTCCAAAAGAACTTGTATTTGTGTGTAGACGTGATAGCAATTAAGGATAATAAGTTTGGGTTCGAAACCTTATGTTCTCTTTGTATGTTGCATGCAAGGTAGTTTGTTAATAGATTAGGCGTTGAGAGTTATTGGTGAAGAGAGGAGAGACATTAATTTGTTAACTTTAATGAATGGTTTTTTGATGTCACTGCTGCCGTACTATAACAAGAATTATTGAAACTAAACTTAAGACGAGTAATTGTAAACTTAGCTTTAGACTGTTAGCGAGTAACGTTAATTTGCTTTGTCTTATACAGTTAAGATACTGCCTCGCCCCCCTTGGATTAGACTAACTAACTATTAAGAAGACAACAATAATACACTTTAATTAATTAACTTAATAACGAATGCGTGCAATAATTTATCCTTTCTGTTACATAATTGTAGATTTGTATTTAAAAAAAAAATGGGACGTTTAGAAGCATATCAACTTAAGTTAAATTACTTAAGTTTTATTTTTTATGGATAAACATTACAGACTGACATCACTTTCAATAGTGAAAAAAAGATATGGTGTAGTTTTTAAGTTGTCGAGATTATTTAACATTTTAAAAGCCTAATTTTTAACGATTGTTTTTTTTTTGTTGTAATATTTCGATCTTTGAAGCTTTTTATAACTTGTAAACTAATTAATATCAAGTATTGTAAATGTATGAAGAAAATTAGTATAGAAACTTTAATTAGTGAAAAATATTGTAATGAAAGTTAAATGGTTTTATACCCAAGTAACGCTAAGTATTATAAATAAGTTTTAATCAGAGAAATGATGCAGCTTGGTTCCTAGAGAGGCGAGACGCTTGACACGTTCATCAAGTACTTTTCGGTCTGAAATTGGAAGCGAAAAGGAAATGAATTTACCAGAACCAAAGTAACATTCTTCCTCTGCCAATACAGGGTACACTTAAGAATACGTTTTTTCCGTCGAATCATCGAGTTCAACAAGGAAGATGTCATCATTCAATAGAAAATATTTCATTCATAAATACACAAAGTTTCACTTGTTAAATTTCAACAGCGTTTTAGAGTTTAAAAATGATGAACTAAAGAGTTACTACCACAGGCAGATTTATGTAATAAATGTATGAATAGAGAAAAATTAGGCTTTTAAAATGTTACGTAAGTTAAGATTAATCAATCGAACATATTGAAGAAGTGGAATAGATAGGATGTAGACAATGAGGTGGTTTTGTATGGTTTCAAAGATTCACGTTTCTTTTGCGATCAACGAAAAAAAACGATCATTCGACATATCTAATGCGGAAGGAGCATCATGATCTTGGTATACGACCGGAGCCAAAACAAAAAAAAAACATTATTATCCAATCAATTGTTCAGTTTCCGTTTGATCTTAAGTCCAATATGTGTATGTATCCTGTACATTAGAGATATGTGATATAATATGATAATAAAAAAAAGAGAAAGAAAAATACAAGTTATTTTAATTTGATTTTTCGCTTCGAATTTTCGTTTCATTCTTTATATTTTCATGTGTGTGAGAATGGATAAGTAAGCGAAATGTACTAGATGTGTAAGACTTAGTATTATAAATTGCTGTGTGTATTTAAACTAGAGGTTAAGATGCGAACGAAGTTTCGATGTTAACTTATACTCTTTATGATGTACCTTCACGAAATGTTTCAAACATTTGGCAGAAAATTTGTAATTCGTTCAATCACACAGTTCACGCAGGCAGACGTTGCGGGTGGATTTTAATTAGCAGAAACGATATATACCTTGATATGAGAGATCGTCGTGATATTATAAATATTACCTCTATATTTATAAACATGTATTTCAAATGAAAAGAGTTGATGATGATGATGGAGAAGAAGTTCGCATCACACGTGGATAATATTGTACTAATTATTATTATATAAAAGGAAATGGAGACAAAAAAAAAACTTTGTAATGGAATAATAGTGTATCTGATCATTATTTTAAATAAATAATAGATATTATGGATTTTCTTTACTTGTTTTCACTCTGTGTTATTATTAATAGGGACGAGCAAGCAACAATTCTGAAGAGTTATCTTCTAACAAGGGACGAGCAAAGCGAATAATACACTAATATTTCACCGGTCTGGCATTGACATGAATGCTTAGGGAGTACTCAGATGGAAATGGTTTCGTCGGAGATGGTAAAAAAAATTGTATATATATATAATCTTGTGTGTGTACTACATATATACAGGCTGGTGCGAAAGTGGGCTCATAAATCCGTGCCGTCGAGTACAAATCATCGACGGCTATCAAATGCACAATTTTATATATATATGTGTACGTTATTGGTGTCAATGTCGATGCTTCAAATCCACCCAGCTGAGAAATATTGTAAAACGCAAGATTCTACGCTCTAACTAACACCATGGCCTCCCCCAATACATAATTTAGACTGGGACACTTATGAACCCTCATACTCTTGGTCATTAACGCCGTGAAGATCATCTAATAATATGACTATAAACTCCAAGTAGCTATGATCACCTCTCTGACAAACTCATCAAAACTCCACTTATCATTTAACTTTCTCTTAGGATATTCAATTACAAATTTCATAATTTATATTCTTTATTATAATGTCTAATACTTCAACAATACTCATTGAAATGATTTATACTCATCAATCAAATGAATGATTCAACTTTCATCAATAAACTATAAAACATTCTATATAGTTTATTTTAAATTAAATTAATTGTTTGACTTCTATCACAAATTATAGATAGTAACTAAACTATAAGACGAAGATTTGGGTTTGATGAGAAACCAGAGTAATTGTAGTAAAGGTAGATGTTATAATTAACAAATATATTGTTCTAAAGATGTTTGATAATTCGTAGCATTGATAATAAATAATTTGAAATTCCTTCTTCCTTCCCCATCTTCATTTGGCTTCCGCATTACGCGCCAATAAGCCTGCCCCTGTCTGTATTCTTCGGATTTCCTCTTCCGTCCAAATAGTTAAGGCAGTCAGCTTCTTCCAATTACATCAAAAATGTCCCTCTTCAAAACAAATAATCAAAATAAAAGACTTCTTCTAACGAAACTAAAAAATAACTATTAAATCCAACTTAAACTGACTTCTATAAAATATGTACATAGGAGCGATACGGCAAGACAGGTTAAGACAATAAAGGTAACGGATCGACCACAAATATATACTCAGGTTCTTGGAGAGACCTCGGAAAATTTGAAATTGATGGAATCTAAAGATTTAGCAGCGCTGATTTACCATAACTAACGTCTTTAGGAATTAAATAGTAGATGGCAGTAACTTGAAATATCGTGGCTTGAGACATCTATGAGAATTGCATCCGAACATAAAGTTTATTTGCTTTTTGCGCTGTTCAAATTGTAAAATTTGTTAGTAAAATGATAATGCGTGAAATTGGGTAATCGATAAATGTATTTTGGTAATTGTTTTAATTAATATTGAAGTAATTATAATTAATTGGATATCCTTACAAAGCTCCACCTGTTGTTATATAGTAGCATTATGGGAAATTTCAAAACGGAATTGTAGCAGAGTTTTTAATAACGTTTTAAATTGGGTTACTCTGTGCGCGATGCTTGACAAGTATTCGACAAGTGGTGTACTGGTTAGGTACTTGGCAAGTACCGAGTATGGGGATGGAGAGGTGCGCACCACTCGGCAATCTACTTGTACTTGCAGGTACTTGCCGCAGTAGCAGTTGTTTGACGTCTACCGTACGCTACTTGACAAGTAATATATAATTTTTTTACACAAGTTATGGAGTGGTCCAACGATACGGTAATGCGATTTCTGGACATTTATGAAAACGAATCCATAGTCTGGGACCCCTCGCACGCACATCACAAAAATAGAAACGAAGTGCACGACGCTTGGAGACGGATCCAGGCCGATTTTGGAGAGAACATCTCCATAACAGATTTAAAGAAGAAAAAAGATTCTTTGATGGCGACGTTCAGGAATTGTCTGTACAAAATCAAGCAGACCGCAAGGACAAGTACCAGCAATGAGATAGTATACAAACCAAGCTGGTTTGCATATCCGAAGATGGCAAGCTTTCTAATACACAACGACACTAATAAATATACAATGAATGCAGATGCAAGTGGTATTCTCTCGAAGCCTTACATTATACTAATCTTGTTTCTTTGGTTTTAGAATATGGAATTAGTTTATGTTGATGAGGAGAGCGAACCAGAGGAGAAAGTACACACAGATGAATTTGTTAGTATATTAAGAACAGGTATGTTTCTGTTTCATTAACAGATCTTGGAGATTATAATGGCTTGTTTTGCAGAACAACTTTCACCTGTAAACACACCTAAAATGCATTTTGAGCCTCAAAGGAAGAAGAAAAAAGATGATATTTTCTATGATAAACTGAACAAAAATTTGCACCTGAAGGAAAAGGATGAATGTGAACTGTTCGGTGAGCTGACAGCGATAAGGCTCAGGAAAATGGATCATAATCAAAGAGAATATGTAATGCATGAAATTGAAAATGTCATGTACAAATGTGATGGTAAATCGGCAACCATGTCTGTTTTAGCTTACCTACAAAATAAAAAAATGAATGAAAAATAATTTTAATTTTTACTATTTCATTTAAAACATCACACCCAAACACTTTCTTAAAACTGTACCATTTGAAGAAAGTTATTACTAATCACTAACAATTCATCTGAAAAACATGAGTAACCATGGCAAGTATGGTTTCAGGCAATACTTGTAATTCACTAGATGTACTTTTGCAAGATCTTACTTGTACAAGTATCAAATAACAAAATTAATTATCGAATAAATCACAATTATTATTGCTCCAAAATAGGTTTTTTTCCGACAACTATGGTCTGTACATTTAAATAGTAGATGGCAGGATAATGAAACTGCATCCAACTGAACAATTATGCTAGTTGAAGACATCTATTCGTATTGCAGCAAAGCTTGAAGTTCTGCTATTTTAGCGCTCTATTTTTATGCAATTAATATTGTTATAATTATTGTTAGAAGCCAAAAATAGACACTGAAAATATTAGCTTCTTGCTTTACCATTTTATTTAAACAATTATCAATGATTTCATTGTGTAATAAAGCACCGCCTGTCGGTAAATAATTGAATTATGAAGAAATTTAAAATGGGATGGATGTTCTGTGCTAAAGCTTGTTACTCGCAATACGGTTCTTGTAAAGAAATTGTTTAATACTTGACGGGTAGTAAATTTGTACCCATTACTTGTACTTGCTGGTGGTACATGTCGATTACAGTTTTTTTTTGACGTGCACTATACACTACTTGACAAGTAACCGCAGCTAATTTTTTTTTTAACCACTATGGAGTGGTCCAACGAGATGGTATTAAGATTTTTAGATATTTATGAAAGTGAACCGATGGTTTGGGACCCCTCGCACGTACACCACAAAAATAGAAACGAAGTAAACGATGCTTGGAGACGAATCCAGGCTGAATTTGGAGAGAACATCTCCATACCAGAGTTGAAGAAGAAGAAAGAATCCTTAATGTCATCATTCAGAAATTGTTTATACAAAGTAAAGCAAAGTATCAAAAGTGGTGCAGTTGGTGATGAATTATATAAGCCGAGCTGGTTTGCATACAACAAAATAGCAGGTTTCTTCAATCTTCGGGATGCAGCCAGATATAAAATGAATGCAGAGGTAAGATCATATTTACTCAAACTATTACATTTTACAAATACAGAATCTTTCAATTTCAGAATATTGATTCAGTTTTTATTGGTGAAGACCCAGACAGTGATGCAGAGGACAAATCACACAATGATGATTTTGTTAATTTGCTTAGCAATCCAGGTATTTTTTTAATTTATCATTAATACTTTTATAAAACTGTAGTTTGCATTTTAGAACAAACATCAACAGCACTTACACCCAGGTTGTCTTTGGAACCTTCGACCAAGAGGAAAAAGATGTCAGAGGATATAATGTTTGATAAAATGGATAAACTGTATGACATGTTGAACATTAAAAAACCTCCTCTATCAATGGAAAAAGATGAGTGTGATCTGTTTGGGGAATTAACAGCAAAGAGGCTCCAAGAAATGGAACAGAATCAAAGGGAATATGTGATGCACGAAATTGAAAATGTGATGTACAAATGTGATGGCAAATCTGCAACAATGTCTGTGTTGGAATACCTACAAAGTAAAAATTAACTGAGAAATAGTTATAAAAACTTACTTTTTTCTTTCCATTTGTTTCATAGTTGGACATAAATTGTGTTAAAACAAAAATGTTAATAACAGCATTCACTTGTCAAGTATTTGAGGTACTTGTAAAAGTAATCATTTGATATAACAGACAAAAAAAATTATTTAAAGTTGATAGAATAAGTAAACAGATGATGATTTTGAAAATAAGTTTCTTTTATATTCCACTTTATAAATCACAAGAAGTACTAATTACATCGATGTACAATTAAAATTACTTAACAACACGTCAGGTGCGCATATAAGTTTGTATATTTAAACGTAGATTATATGTATATATTTTTGTAATGATTTTCATTTTTCTACTTAATTGTATAAATCACAAAGAAATATTGATTATTTAATTGTTTGAATCAAAAAAAATCGATAAGGGAAGATGCAAATGATAAATAAATTAATAAAAATTGCTATTGTCTTCCACGCACTAACATTATTACAGAGATGTAAATTTGTATCCTTTAAATTCGCACCCGAAATTTGATCTATTCGCAAAACTATTTCCATTCAATTCATCGGTTATTATTTTTTCAAATTTTTTTTTTTTTAGAAATGCATTCTACGGCAGATTCCAAAGTCCCATAAACTCACTTGGCCTCTTAAAAATTACTATTGTTTAAAAACTCTTATATACATAGGATTAGACTACAAGCGTTATGAGGTCCAAGGCATCTGCGGTTCCATTATCAAATGCATTCGAAGTCTCATTTGACTTTGAGCAATTTCTTAACGGCCATCGTTACGTCGTTCGCTACAGGAATAGCAGCAATCTCCAAGCTCTTCGTGTATGGCATAGGAGTATCGACACCGGTAACTCTGATTGCTGGTTGATCCAAGTGGTAGAAAGCCTCCGATTCCATTATTCTTGCTAATATTTCGGAACCAATTCCGCAAGTTGGCCAGCCCTGCTCCACGGATATCAGATGATTAGTTTTCACCACGGAAGCAATTATCGTATCCATGTCCAACGGCCTCAATGATCTGAGGTTTATGACTTCAGCCTCGATTCCCTTGCCCGCCAATTCTTTGGCTGCTTCTAAAGACGTCTCCACGGCCCTCGAATGCGCTACAATAGTGATGTGCTTTCCTAAGATAACAAACTAGGTTTAACAACATATTTCGTTATACTTATATAAGTATAATTACCTTGCCTTTCAATTTTGGCTTTACCAATGGGCAATACAAAGTCTTTCGACATGGCTTCATCAGACATTGGATATTGTACACCATAAAGGATTTCGTTTTCTAAAAATACAACTGGGTCTGGATCTCTGATAGCTGCTTTCAGCAAGCCTTTGGCATCTTCTGAGCTGTAAGGTGACAGAACTTTAAGACCTGGACAGTGAGCATACCAGGCCCCAAAGCACTGCGAGTGCTGAGCTGCAACACCAGCAGCAGCCCCATTCGGGCCTCTGAACACAATTGGCACATTCACTCTACCAGCAGACATGTAGAAAGTTTTAGCTGCAGAATTGATGATATGGTCTATGGCTTGCATGGCAAAATTGAAAGTCATGAATTCACAGACTGGTCTCAGGCCAGCAAATGCTGCCCCTGATGCAATACCGGCAAAACCCATCTCTGTGATTGGAGTGTCAATAACCCTTTTATCACCATACTTCTTCCACAAGCCTCTCGTTACCTTATAAGCACCATCAAAGAGGGCAACCTCTTCACCAATGATAAAAACACGCTCATCCTTTTCCATCTCCTCATCAATTGCTGTGTTCAGGGCATCCCTTACAGTCATTTGCTGGGCCAAAGCTGCTTTGCTTGTTGAGAAGGACCTTCTGTTTATTAGTTTGAATAGCACATTCACCACATTCGGATTCTGGAAAGCCATCTTCAACGGTTCTGCAGCCTCTGCAAGGTGGTTAAATGGTCAATTGCAAAGTTTTATTATCCTCGGTTATGCTTACACTTGCACCAAGGTGAATAAGGTCGTGATGGTCAACAGGGGCTATGAGACGAAATCAGATGAAACTGTGACATATGTCATTCTATTATTACGTGATTCGATAACCTAAGTCACAAACCGTCACAACTTAGATCCAGAATCGTTATTACTGTATTTTTTCAATTTCATATTACTTGAAAACTAATGTTTTAAGCAAATTGAAGCTTTGAAAACTAAATAATTGTTTAAATAAAGTTTTATTCAATAAATTACGAGTATTATTTGGAAAATTTAACTATTTATGTTGGTACAACTGTTTATTTTTATTTACAAATCAATTCTACCAACACAAGAACTGTACAGCAAGTGTTGGTGGTGGGTACTCCCAGCATTCTTTATAAAGAATACAATACAATACAAAAATCAGTTTGTATTGAGTTATTGATAGTAACACATCAATTTAATAGAAATATAAACTATCATTTTGTTATTGTTAAGTGTGTATTGTATTCAGTTTACAGAAGTTATTCCTTAACTTGCATAGTAGTGAAACATAACATAACCTAGAAAAGATGCCAAAATATTATTGTGACTACTGTGATACATACTTGACTCACGACTCTCCCAGTGTAAGGAAAACTCACTGCACAGGAAGGAAACACAAGGACAATGTTAAATTCTACTATCAGAAGTGGATGGAGGAACAGGCACAGCATTTGATTGATGCCACCACAGCAGCATTCAAAGCCGGTAAAATCACAAACAATCCATTTGCTCCTCCTGGCAAGGGTGTAGCTATTCCACCACCAACACAATTGACTATGGGACAAAGGCCTGCAGGACCTGGAGCACCAGGCATGATGCCACCAGGTATGTTTATAATAGTACTTTTTTGTGTCGTAGACCCTTTGCCATGTTTTTCGATTTTGGGTAGACCCCCTACTTACCTAATATTGAATTTTTGGAAATTTACTATTTATATTGGGATATCTTTATAATTATTAAGATATTTGCACATATGCTTGTAACAAGATGATAATGGTATATCATTATGTGCAGGTTTTTACAAGTTCAAAATGTATTGCGACCATAAAGCGAATGCCTACATCCTACAACTTACACAATTTTATAAACATATATAATATTTTTTTACTTCATGGTACTTTTATAAATAATGTATATGGCTTTATATTATAAGATAGTAAATAGGTACTATCAGTGTATGTTGAGATCCACTATTGTGGACCCCCAAATTTTTTGTCATAGACCCCTGGGGGTCAATATAGACCACTTTGGGAATCACTGATATAATCTATATCAGTTATTCTCAAAGTGTGGTTCAGATTAATGACAAATCAATTCTTGTTGTTTTTCTACACATAGCCATTATTGAGGGGTTGCAGAAACTTTTAATGTCTGAAAGGAGTGATTCTCAAAAAAGTTTGAGAATCACTCAATCTATATTGTTTTTGCTAATGTTAATTTATTTTGTAGGAATGGGTCCTGGTGGACCGATGCCACCTATGATGATGGGTCCTCATGGCCCCATGCCACCAATGATGGGAATGAGACCACCTATGATGGGTATGATGCCAATGGGTCCTATGGGCCCCATGGGACCAGTGCGACCACCGATGGTGAATCCACCACAAATGAAGAATTAAATTATTATATATCATAGTTCATGTACACAATAAAAGATAAGGATTTTTTTAAATGTAATAATTTTATTATTTTTTGTATATATTATATATTCACTTTTCTTTTTCAGTTTTTTTTTATTTCATTTTATTTATTATTACTTTTAAGGCATCACTGCAACTAATTCAATAGTTTTATATTACAGTCAGTATAAAAATTGCAGGCAGGAAGGGTTTCAAAGAAAATAAAATTAAAAACAAGAGAACGCTAAGCCTTATTTTGTACAACGGTATTAGAAATTTAAGAAAAAAAAAAGACTCACTTAAATGTATGTACAAAAGGATAACAATTTTCGATATTTACAATTTCGTTTCGTAACATTTTCTTTTTAGGCCAATCGCTTAGGCGTCGTAATGAATTAATAAAACAAAATTAAAAACCAATGGTCCCAAAAACAAAAAAGAACTAAAACAAATAATAGTAATAAACAGAAAAAAAAAACAAAACAATAATTTAATACAGACTAGATGGAAATAAATAAGAACATATGTACAAAGACGATGATCAATAATAAATTAAAAGGAAGTTTCTAATGTGGGCTTGTTGTCTGCCTGTGGCACGACTCTCGTGTTCGGCGTTTGATTGAAGAATCTGGCGCGTTGCGCCTGCAGTCTTTGGCTGGCGGTCATCGTTGTCTCCGGCATTTGCTTCCGGATTCCCGTTTCCTGTATTTCCTTGCGGATTTCCGGTGGTTGCTGCTTCCTGATTTCCGGCGTTTGCCTTCGGACGCTGCTGCTGTGCAAGGAGGACTGCCTGCGTTCCCCTGAAGAGTTTGGGCTCTCGTCTTCGTGACAATCTTCGAGGATTGTCGAAGAGAGAACATCGCTCCGGGGATTCGGGAACCTCCATTGGGAGCGAGGCGAAAGGATCTTCGCCGTGGGTCGGGATTTTTCCGGCGAGTTCGGCGTTTGATACTTTCTGTTGCGCATGTTACGCGGGGATTGGCTTAAATCTAGGATGCTAACTTCATGTGTCGAAGCTGACGTAGCTTTAGGCTGTACCTGTTGTTTGGAGAGTTGTAGTTGCTCGACGGCGGAGAGTTTCTTAGCGGGAAGCTTGGTTTTACCGTGCTGGAGGAGCAACTTTTTGAAGTCTAGACGTGAGGTGGACGATTCCTTTTTGTCGCTGCACGCCCAGCTTTGGCGAGAGCGGCTCTCCAGTGGCACTTGATCTATGTTCGTGTTGAAGTCCATGTATTCCCCGTTGTTCGGGGACCAACTCAGTCGCGACTTCGATTTGTCCAAGTACCCTGTTTCCGGTTTAACTACTTTCGAGGTGAGCGAATTCTCCGAGCTGACCGGGGATAAACTGCTGTTGGATAGATTCGGGGAACCGCGGTCCTCTTCAGGTTGAATATTCATCCGCTTCTTGCTCTTGTGTATCACAGCGTACAACTCGTCCGTGCTCATCGTGGATTTCTTCGGTGAGAGCAGTATATGGTCCAAGTTGGCGGCTGCTCTCAATTCAGGACCTTTTGAAGGCGTCGACGAGTGAAACCCGCCCGGAGCTATCCTCGGATCAATAGGAGATATCTTAAAGGAGACGTCGGTTTGATGATGGTTGTAGCGCATCGGCGAATGCGTAGCATGCACCTGGGGCATCTGCACGGGAATACCCAAGTTCTGATGGAGCGGTTCCCGATCGTTGAATATCTGTCTCCTCGTGTACTTCCTATCCATGCTGTTCGTTCCCAATTGCTTCACGCCCAAACCACGCATGATGTCAGGCGTCACCGAGCGGTCGGGATGTTCGTACTGCGGCTTCCTTGCAGGCATCGTGCTGTAGTTGGTGGCGCCGCGACGCATCATGCCAGCAGAAGTGGTGCAGTTCCTCTCAAAATCTTTCGATAGCGCATTGGGATCGTATCCGTATTCAGGCGGCATCGGTGGATACCTCGATGGTTGACGATTAGACGGTGAAAGTGCTCGTCCTGCAAAACCAATTCGAAAAGAAAAACAAAATTGTATTTTTTTTTTATTGTAGTTGTATCCATCGGTGAGAACTTGCGTTGCGAATATAATCGTGCTTCGCAAAACTTCGATAATATTTGAAAAGCTCACCTTTTTGTGTTCTGTACAATGGTGCTCAATATGAATGTGCGAAATAGAAACAAGCAGAGTGCAAAAAGTACGAATAATAATAGACTATTCCATGCGGATTTTCCGTGCAGCGATAGAACAAAACAACAACAACAACAGAGGGAAAAAATGTAACTTTTTGGAGCGGAGTCAGCAACGAGCGACGAACGGCACACAACTAAATATGTACAAACAATAAAACGGCTCGATACAAAGAGGGAATGCCATTACAATAGAGAAAGAGGAGGACCAGAACATGTGTATGCACTTTACATTTATTACAAGAGACCCCGAGATGCTATGAATCATGATTCGTCGGTCATATGTGTCATCACCAAGTTCTAGATTGAATTTCGTTTCCATTTCATTATTCGATTAAACCCAATTTATGTCAGTGCAAGTGTAAACACCTCCACGTATTTATCAGCATAAAAATGTGTTTCCTTTGTTTCTTCTTCTTTTGTTTTTGACTTTTTATTACAAAATATATAAAAGAAATATTACATCGATGCATATATAAAAATATTATTTATATATAATAAAGTTGGCATGCAGATTATTATGTACAACTAATTTACACATATTTATATATATATATAAAAAAATATATAATAATTAAAAACAAGGAACAAAAATAGTGCGCGCGAATTACAACAAAACATAAATCCATGCAAGTACACAAGGCTACTTTTCAATTCAATTAAAATTAAGTAAGATAGTAGTAAATTTTGTACAGAATCAGTCTTTAAAAACAAGTAGTAGTAGTCATAATAATAATATAATAATTAAGGCAATTTTTTCAATTATCACAATTCTGACACGTGTTTTTTTTTGTGTGTAAATATATAGATACGCACATACGACAAACAAACATACAATAAGTGCTCTAAAATTAATTTAAAGGAAGACAAAGTTTAGAGTTTCTGAACTCTCAAAACGTATATAAAACAACAATTGCATGCACACGTGTCTAAAACAAACAAACAAACAAAAAAAGAAAGAACAACACATCGGGTGGATCGACATACATGAATTAGCCATATTCATTCGCGATGTTTTCAACATAATTGTTTTTTTTTGTTAATCGTTGCGATTGTTCAAAATAAGAGCTTCGAATGAATTTCATTGTTACGGACAAACCACCTAAAGCAATAACGTTGTTGTTTTTTTGAGAAGTTGCAATGAATATGGCCAATCACCAGAAGAGTTACGAATATGCGAGTCTACAAAATCCAACTTTTATTTTTAAATTAATTTAATAAAAACAATTGTAGTTTTTTTTTTAAATATTCTTTCAGGAATCAAAAACGTATATAGAAACTGTTACACAGAGATAATTGGAATTTATTATTAAGCCGGAACTAAAACCACATTTTGCGTGTAATAATCTGACCTGCTGCGTATATGAAGACAAGCGCATAAGGTTTCTTTAAAATTAATATTGTAAAAGTATTATAATACTTTCGTATCATTGAACTCTAACTGAAATGAGATTTCGTGTATTAGTTCTTAATCTGTAATCTAATACTGTAACAAGTGTAGGAAACCTTTTATTTGGAATTATAAGAGAGGTATGATTTATTTATTTTTGAAATTATTGTTTTACTATGTGAAATTATAGTTTATAATTTTTACATCGTAGTAAGATTGATCCTACCTTAAGAAGTTGATTTTGTAGACGCAATATTATATAAAACACAGATGAAAGAATTAAAGCCATAGAGAAGGGATGATGGTTGTGAGGGTGAAGAAAATGACGATGATTGAGGAGGAAAAAAATGTCCCATTACCAGCAAACATTGTGCACAAAAGTGGGCGATGACACGTTTCATCGATTTTCGCGTAAAGTTACCAGATCTCAGTGTCAGCGGTGGAAATGGATAAAACGCGAGCGCGATGCTCTGAACTGTCCGCAGGAATGATCACCCTGCTCGGCGGGGAGAGGATGTATTCCTGCGCAGGATCCTGTAGGAACGAGTGGCACCGTTTCTCGCACAGCTTCGGAGAAACTGTCGCAGGGTAATTGATTCGCTCGCGCCACAGTTCAGCCGCGAACTCTTTCTCGATCTGATCCTCGATGTCCAACAGTTTGGACTCGAAGGTTTTAATGATTAAGGGGGCTTGCGCCATCCGGTAACTTTCGCTGCGCTTGATTTTGTTGCATAACTGCTTGTTGATCTTACCTTCATCGGGTGCGGCGACGGATGAGACGCCGCGCGGTTCTTGCATGTGGACGTATGCGCCGCGCGCGCTGTTATTTGGCTTTGGGGACATCGGTCTTGGACATACTATGGTGGAAGGAGGCATGCGAACTATTTCTGACGTTCCAGACGATGCTTTAATTACCACTTTACCTAATTGTGGCGACAGAGGCCTGCTTTCGTCAACCATCGGAGGCGCTCCACTGCGGTGACCTTTAGAGTCCGGCACCGGACGTATGGTCTTCGGGGTGCGATGGCCCAGAAGTGGGCTTTGCACCGGAGGAGACGGCTTCACGCAAGGGCCGGGCTCGAAGGTGGTGTGAGCGCCCTTCCGCCTCTTCAGGCTATCCGAGCTGTACACCACTTTTCCTTCGGCGTTCAGAGTGACGCGCGCTCCTTTCCTTTTCCTCTCCAGCGAGTCCGCGGATGAAGAGCTCTGCAGATTGTTTTCCGGATCGTTGCAAGGAAGTTCATTGAGCGAGATGTATTCCGTTTCCCTGATTTTTCCCGACAGCACCGTCTTCAAGTTGCGATTCACTACATCATTGGCGTAGATGACCTTCTCGTTGTTATTCTTCACATCGGCAATAGTCACGTAATCACCAGCGTCCACTTGATCCGCGTTCTTAACAGGAGACTTGCTTTCCCTCCTCGAACCCAAATTGCTGAAGTTCAATTTCAATTTTCCGAACATATTGTTGAGAGGAAGGAGCGTTGCTTTGATGATCGGTTGCAGCTGGACGGGAGACTTCTCCTTGATCGTCACCGAACCACCGCTCGGCGATGGAGCTCTGTATTGAGCAGATTTCTTCACTTCCGTCACCTGTGTCTCGATCGTGGCGTAACCAGTTTGCGGGTTCACGTTGATCAGCTGCACCGTCAAATTATTGTTATTATTCTCGCAAGGCTTTATCGGGAGGTTCAATTTCGTCTTCGTGTCGTTCTTTGACCCGAGGCAATCCAAATTGTTGTTCATCAGCGTCACGTCTTGGCTCTTGACGCTCTCGTCGTCGCTCTGCGAAGGCGTGATCACGCACATGGAAGGGATACGGCTCGAGTTGATGGTGGTCTTTACGCGGATCCTTTCTATCCGATCCGCGCCCTCCATGTCAGAAGATTCGGAAAATTCGAATTCCGATCCGCTACGCATACCATTCGGACTGCTGATTGACTCTATGGGGGAACTGGATGTGTTGTGTCCGCTGTCCGGAGAGACGTCTCCGTTTGTTTGCTTATGGATTACAGCCACGACCGTTGCCTTGTTGTTATTGTTGGCAGGGCTACGCTTCACGGTGCCGGTCTTGTCGCTACTGTAATCTCTTTCCAGAGAGCTTTCGGGCGAATTATCTTTGCCGGATAGTTTGGAGAGGGAGCTCTTGCGCTCCGGAACGGCCGGACCTATGATCAAAGACCTACTGCTCTCGGACGCCCTGAGCGTCGTGCATACTGTGCCGGCCGAGCTGGTCGTTGTTGAAGTCGAGCCTTTCCCGAAGAGCTCGTATTCGTTCTCCGCGCTTAATACGGTATTGTTCGAGCTGGAATTCGAGAAAGCCGTCGTGGAATGCAATGGGGTGGCGGGAGAGTCCTCCTCCTTCAGCGTCTTAAGGCCGCTGTCCATATGGAATGATGTATAGTAGCCTTCGGTGTCGCAGGAGTAGACCGAGCTGGTCTCGCCGTCCTCGTGAAGGTCGTGTATGATGTCCGGCGTTAAAGTGCCCTCGCTGGTAGAAGTGGAGGTGTTGTTGAACCTCCTTCTACTGCACACGGAGCTCGGAGCGTGCTGGCTGAGAGAGTTATTGGAGGTTGTCGCGGAGGGTGTGGATTTAGGTTGCGTGGTCGCCGTCGTGATCTCTGACCCGATAGACGCTCTTCCGCTTTCCGAGCTGGCACTCCAGTTTCCGCTGGACGAGTGTGGCTCGTCTTTGTTCTCGCCCGACCTCCTCAACCGTCTCTGGGCTGAGCTGTCCCGCAGACGCACGGACGCGATATTCATTGCGGCCGTTAAAGGCGTATTTATTGGTATGTTAATGCTGGACTTTTCCGACGAAGAACACGAAGGCTTTCTCTCATGCAGCGTTTTCCTCTCCTTATCGACGCTTCGCTTCCTTCGCACCGTCACAGTCTCGTATATATTAACATCTTCCAAATCATTACTGCTCTTGTTGCCTCCATCGTTAGACTTCGAACCACTACTACCAATCATCTTCAGGCGATTCTTGCCCCATTCCTTGATGCTATTGAAATGAGACTTCTTGCATTCCGGCGATTCTTTCTTGCTACTCCGCAGCAGATCGCTGCTTTTTGATCGCGACACGATCACTGCCTGTTCCTGTTCTTCAGCTGGAGCAGCAGAAGTCTGCTCCTCCCTGTTGATTAATGATCAGCAATTAGTATTCAAAAGAAAAGAAAAACAAAAAAATAAGGAAACATGCGTGTTATGGGTGTATTTATTTATTTTTTTTGGTTTGAATGTAGTTTGGGAGTATTCATGCAGAGGATGTTCGAGCCACGTTGCACTTACCCTCCGGTGATCAACGCATCCCTGATTTCCTTCTGGTCCGTTCCCGCCAACGTATTACGCCTCCTGTTGCGCGGCTTCCGATTTCTCGTCCTTCTCCGTATCGTGCTGCCATCTTCGTTATCCTTTTCCAAATCCCCGTGAAGCAGAGACCTCCTCTGCCCGGACATCCGGTCGAAACTCTTTCCAGTTATATCCACAGCCACTATTTCAGCAGGGAATCTAAATTTCAAACAAAATAAATATCAGTTACCTAACAATTCAAAGAAAAGCAAATATTTATATTAATAATAAAAAGCTTGAACTTTCAAGATAATTAAAATTCCAATGACTGTACATATTCATTAAACTATTTCAAAAAATATTACTTTATACTTTCACTATACTTGTATATGTCCAAGTATCCAGTGTTCGAGTCACGGATGTGAGATATTATGCTCTGTTGAGTAATAACTTTAGAGGACAAAAAAAAAGGTAGGACTTACTTTAAAGCTACGACTTGTAGTTGCTCTTCGGGCGAGGGGAGCTTGTGATCGATGGCCTCGTCATCAGAGACCATCGTCCCATCAGTCAGGTCACCATCCAGAACGGTGGTAGTGGATAACATCCTGGGACCGTCCGCAGCGACGGTCACGTCTCCAAGGGCTTCGGTGGAGGTCCATCTTCTTAGATCCTCGATCACAGCTGGCTGCGAAACAAAAAGCGGATATGCATCGTCAGCAAAAGCCGGAAACTTTAGAGGATTTCCTGCCCGCAGGGCCACTTGCTTATTGTTCGAAAATGTATGTTCCCCACGGGACCAATCCTCGTTACCTCACGTGCTTCGACAATAGCGGCCAATATCACCCTCACGGAATCTTCGATCACGTAATTGTGCGAGCCAATTAAATAATGCGGGGCGATTCGTTAAAGCGTAAACAGGAAACTTGTCGCGCTATGCATTGTATTCGTATTTTCGGAAATAAACTTTATGCGCGCACGGACATTTCAAGGAGCGGATTCGAGTTACCGCACGTTGCATCCAAGAGGCTTTCCCTTCTTTCTTTTTTGTTTGTATTCTTTTCTTTACCGAGGCGAGGCATTCGATGATCTTCTCGCACACCTACCTCCAGGTCGTTGGTAGGTAGTACCACCCGCCGCGTACCTGCAAGTCAGCCACGCAACAACAATGGCCGTTGCTCAATAATATAATAATGTATGTAAATCGTTGCCGAATCGTAATGGTACATGAAGAAGAACACGAAAAAAAAAACGTGCACCATAATAATGGAAATTGGGTCAAGCCTGGATTTCTTCGGGACGATTTTTTTTTGTGTGTGCATATTTCTGAGGGCATCCTCGGGTCGATATGAATTGCAGACCCCCTCCTTCTGTATGTATCGTGTTATGTTGCTCCGCAATTGTGAGTCACGCCGAGGACCTTTTCGCTTTAACTTTAATAACGTAAGCGAGGAATATAAATATAAATAGGAAATAAACGGCGAGAGCAGCAGAAGTCCTCTTGTTTATTATATCGAGTCATCTAAAACGCTGCCGTCGCGGAATTGAATCTACTTAGAACGTAGTTTGCTTGCGATTACTCGGAACGACACACGAGAGGTCAAAACATCGCTCGCCAATTCTCAGGTTTAGAAATTAGCGCAATGCCTTTAACCCGAGCTAGAACTGTTTAACGTTTTTATTAAAACGATAGTTCACCGGGTCATGTACGACTGTAATTCGTATAATTAAAAGCACATGTGTCGGGAGGTTGTTTTGTACTTTTTCTTGTGTGTCTTCATATTCTACTCTTTCACTTCCTTGTGAACATCTATTATGAGGATGACAACAAAAAACGGGAAAGAATACAACAGATGAAAAAAGGGGGATACGGTTCTGGGAAGTTGCAGCTCACCATCCTGGTTTCGATGTCGATGTCGACTCGGTTCCGGATCTTCCTCCGTTTGGCGCCCAGCACCGGCGTGCACATGAAGAACCTCGATGAACGATGACCGTCACGACGCCACCTGTCCATCTGCCTCATCAGGTGAATCGGCGTCTTCGCCGCCGCCTCGTAAAGCGCCCGCACGGCGTCGGGACGCGTTGACGGCGCGAAGAGATTCGTGTCGTAGTCATGCTTCGCTGCGAAATGATCCTTCAGCAGTGCGAAACTTGCTATGTCACTTTCGGCTGCAAACAAAGAGAAAACATCAAAATTACAAACGAAATTAATACAAAAGGAATTGTACAGTGCGCGCGTCATAATTGCAGAACCTCCGGGCAAACGCGCAAATTGCCGTAATTAATGAAATGATTCTTTCCTTTCTTTTTTCTTTTTTTTGGTTTACGTTATCGCAATTACACGTTTTCGAAATGGGAATCAATTATTTGTACGTGTACGAACATTGATGGATTCCTTGCGTTGTTTCCAAGTCACGCGTTTTACTTCAATTACAAAAATCATCACTTTGGGGCCTCACATAAATACAGATCACGATAAACATTTTAACATACTTTCTTTAAACTCGTGACACATATTTATGCAGCAACTTACTAATTAAATATTCATATAATTGAAAGATGTTAAAAATAGAATTAAAATACGAACAAAGTATGCATTAATTGTTATTTGAAATATATTGATTATCGAAATAGATTGATTTCGATGAAGTGTCATGGGTTTGAGATGAAGATGATAATTAGGAAAAGAAGATATACGAAATACAATGCGTGAAGTGTTTGAGAGGATTACGGTTGAAAGCTCGTCGACTTGTAACGTATTGGTCAAGTCATTGGATTAAAATTAACATTTGAATCGGATCTCTTGTTACAACTTCTCGGATGCAACGGAAGAGTGAACCGGAGGACCCACGGTTTAAGTATAGAACACTAAATTTAGTCGCATCCGAGTGATAAATGTGCGTTCGAGGCTAATTTATGAAACTTGGCAATGAAGTCTTAATAGACCTCGGTCAAACTAAACGAGTGAAACACGGGCAACGATAAAACTAAATATAGTAGACACACACTCCGTGTGTATCGATCCAACAACGTTCATAATTAATTTCCGAATCGATTTTTTTTTTGTGGCAAGTCTGGATCGATTCCGGGAAGTGAAAAGAGACGTAGATGGAAATGGAAACAATGGTGAATGTTCACGTGTTTCGGGAAAACGTGAGCATGTAAATAGCGGTTCCCGTTGTGGAGAACGTGAGCGTCTGGAGCTGTTGCGCAATTAGCGCAAAGACCTGCCGAAGAGGCGGAGAAGGATTTTGCATGAAGGGAATAAAGCGAGCGAGCGGTGTAATGAAGGAGTCCTCTGTGGCGAGCGGCTCTTTCATGCACGGATTTCTGCATTTCCCGATGGCCACGGCTCGACCACACACAGGGCCCACCGAGCCACCCAAACGCAACGAGCGACCAAGAGAAGTCAGCCTTCAAACCTCACCCATGCCATAAGTCTAATCATATAGGCAACGGAGCGCGAGTCTCGCAAAACAAAAAGAAACTCCCGCAAATCGATGGTCGTTTTAATAATAACCAACGGCTTTATAGCGAGGAGGGTCGCGTTCGCTAAAGACACCAACAAATCATTTCCCACGATCGAGTTGTAAATTATCCGGAGGAAAATAAAAACTTAGGTAATCGCGCACCACCTACAAAGCTTTTTGCTTCTATCGAGGTTACTTTTATTTGCCCTTCCCGAAGAACTCTTTTATGCAGGCCATAATTTATTGTAAACATTTACTGCTCTGCGCCCACTATACATTCCTTTTGTGTGGAATCCATCAACTCGTTTCGTCAAACTTGATAATACGCCAAAGTGTCGACGTTTTCAGAGGAAATTCGCTCCGTAATGAAGGCGTAACGCACGTGTAAATTATTTACTAATTACGGAACATTTATCATTCGGCTCGGTATTTCTTCCTCGCATTTGCATCACAAATGCAGACGACTTCCTGCTGTGCATTTCAATCTCATATGTTCTCCGTACCTACGACTAAATACTACAACAACGGGTTGTGTCTTCGGTTTTCCGTTCATTATATTAACTGGATACATCATTTACCAAAGATACCGTTTTCCATTGTCTTTTCCCAGGCCTTTATCTATCGTGTAATATTCAGTTTAGAAATTTATCTCAGTCGAAAAGTTACAACAAAAAAAATATAGTTGCATAGTTTGTGAGTTAGCGAATTTTCTATGTAATAAACTAACCGAATTTATTACGAAAGTTTTAGATAAACGTTTCGCTTGGTTTCAGAGAGGTTTTAAAAGAATCTTTGTTATGTGGTTTTAAACTTAAAGAACCTTGAAAATTGAATAGAAAAATAGTTTTGTGATGTTATATGTAAAAAGTGTGTCCCTCACGGTTGGATGATTTATCTTATGTTGATGGCGACTCGTCCGTTCCATCGCGGTGCGTTCCCAAAGCAATCAATTACGCCAACTTTACTCTGTTGAATCCGAAGAATCCCAAATTAAATTGATGCTGTATCAGTGAGCACGATTTGTTTGCGCTCGCCCTGTGTCTCTACGCCGCACAGTATGCGCCCCGTCTGTAATGATTGGTCTTTATGAAGGATTGTTATGACCTGATGATGATTCGGTCATTTCTCATCGTAAACGTAATTCCAATATGTGAGTGTCCCCCGTCGTGGGCGGCCAAAGAGGAGGAGAAAAAAGATAATGTCCACGATACGAGGCCATGAAAACAAGCCATCCTCAACGCAACCCGAGATGCATCTTAAGATTCCTTCGGCGAACGATCCGTGACTACTTTTCAGAAACAATATTGAAACACGAGCAAAGAACGCGCGCTCTCTCTCTCTCGCTCTTTCTTATTTATAGCAGTAAATTTCCTCGACTCTAGACTCCTGAGGATCCCGAAAAACTCGGGAGGAACGACGCGATTAATCATCCAGAACAAAGTGTATTCAGAACTAACTATCAATTTAAATCATAACGGACGTGGCGCGTTGTTGAGGAAGAGAAGAGAAGGTGACTTAGATCTTTAACACGCGGAGACCGCGGCCTTTGATGGTCGGGGGAAAAACGAAGGAGACGAACGGTGGAGTTTCAATCGGGGAATCATAATATTTAGACTGGATTAACTGACAGTAGCGATGCTAATAAATCGATGGTCGTAAGCGAGAACCGTTCCACTGCAGACATTTATTTATAGTTGAGAGGACCTCAGCCATTCCTTCCTCGCCTTCGACTTGATGTTTGCAACGAGTAAATGCAACAGTCATTCTCAATAAAGCAAATAGATTCTTACTTACAAATAGGTTCTCTTATTTATACCTTTTTTTTATGAAAATCTATACAACACTTTGAAAATAACTTTTAAAGCATTAAACAAAGCGAGTTGAGAAAAGTAACAATTTTTCAATTGAATTTGGAAACTAACACAGTTTACTTTTGTATCCTGAAAAAACATATATAAAGAATGATAATATCATAAACAAACAATAATACAAACGTTACAAACTTCAGTAATAAAATATTAAAACGGGCATTGTTCGACAATTACTCTAAGGACCACCAAAACGGTGTAGTAAAGATAGAAAATGTGAATAAACTAATATGTAAATAAAAATTAAGGTGCGTTTTGTATAGAGAATATTTCCAAATGAAGTTATTCTGAAAATTTTAACAAGAGGAATATATAGAGCAAATCATCGAAATTGCAACTAAATTTTCAATATAATTTAGTTGAACATTATTGCACAGCTGAAGTATTTGCAAATTGCAACTGGTAGTTGATTTAAAATGTTAACAAATCCCCGTGGTACAACTGCATACCTGAAGGAGGAGATTTGAACTTTCGTTATAAATTGCGGTGTCCGATTACGGGCGGCGGAATTGATTACGCAAAATTCAGCTGAAATTGCGGGTGCAAAAGCAAAATAAATTGGCATTTGATCTGCGCAATGCTGAGTACGTTCGTATGTTTGCGTGTAATACGAGTCTTTTATCTGGTGTGGCATAAAGAGAAATGGGTGTTTGCGAATTGCGCTGAACGCGAGAGGACGATGATGATGGTGATGACCTTCCAGAGGCTTCGGCTAATGGCATACAACCACTCGATTACGAAACCGACGGTGGTGTAATAGTATTGTTCGGTTGTGGCCGTTTATACATATTTAGTGTTTTTTTTTGCGCGCAACAGCGAAAAATTCCGCCGGGGCGCATCGGCCTTTCCAAGAACACCCAACGAGATGGCAATAACTAAAGAACAGGCCATTCTACTATTGTCCTGTCTGTTACGCCGACAAGTAGATACGGCCATATTAGGCAGTCCACGGCGTTAACGCTTTCCGATGATGGAGGAAGGTCGTAGACCCAGAGACGGACGCGTGCCCCGAGTCCGTACATACATACATACACACAATATACACACCAACTGCACACGCATACTGCAAGCAAAGAGGAGGAGGAGGACATTCCCGAAAGCGATTGTGTAAAGGCAATTATTTATGGGCCATAACGATCTTCAGGAAACATTAAAGGAGAGAAAGCGACGCACGAAAAAACAAACGAAGAGCCAAGCTAGGAGAGCGAAACGAAGAGGAAGCAGCGTAAGTGAGCTCTTCGCCGCGCCGTCTCTTTTTTGGACTTATCTCGACGTTTATAAATAAAGGCGAGAAAAGGGATCTAATTTAGAAGCGGTTCCCATTAGGTTGCGCTCCTCACCAAAACCGAAACGCATCCATCTGCTGTATTAAGGAAGATAATCCGAACGATTGATACATCGTCATTCTACTTCTTCTTCATCATCTTCCTCTTCCTAGATTCGCGCCGCCTGCCGTCTTCGGAATCGTCGCGAAAAAAAATATAATAAAAATCCCGTTCACCCGGTTTTTCTTCGCAGCGATGGGAACCGAACCGGCTCTCAGAGAGAAGCTTCCTTTTCCGGAAAAAAATTGCTGGCATCGAGTCGATGATCTCTCTCCTTGCCCGTTCGATAAAAAAAAAAAACGATTCGCAGGACCTTTTTACAGTCAGAGGAGACAGCGCCAGAAGGAGGAAGACGACGGCGCGCAAGAATCGAAAAGAGAAGAGTCAGAAGGTTTCCTTATAATTAAATTTGCTAATCCTGGATGCATCTAATTATAGCGACGGTTAATTTTAGTTTTCTTTCCCTAGCTGCCTGCCATTCCACATGTCTCTTTCTACCTGTGTCT